TTCAGATCCCTCAAGATGCTTAAAACACCATCAATAGTGATCCTTGTGCATCCAGGCACGCCAAGCTGCCAACCACAAGAAAAAAAATATTAGCTTCATATAAGATCCCACAAATCAATTCTACCACCAAGCACTTCTATAAAGAGCTTACAGATTTACATAATGTAAAATGAAGAAGAAGCAGACCTTAACAACTTGTGGGTTGTGCTCCAACACCCGCTTAAGACAATCATCTGTAATTCTCGGGCAATCTACGAGCCTCAAACACTGCATAGTGCCCTGAGCCCTCTCGGTTAAATGGAGCAGAGCCTCATCAGTGATCTTCTCATTCAACGGTTGACAAATGTGGATATGTTTCCACAGCAGCGAGTCATCACGGACACTCGTCTGCAGAGACTTGCAAACCATACTGACCGAAAGAAGATCCTTTATTCCTAAGTGATAGAGACAAAAACCAAACGCTGGATGAACATTTGAGTTCTCTCCTCCATCGGCGCAGCGATCACTGCTTCCTACAACTTCACCACCATTCCTCGCAACCTCGAGGCTCAATACCTCATCCACACTGCTAGAGGATATGAAGGCACCATGACAAGACCCATCACCATCAAATGCCCCACCAAACCCGTTCAATGACCCTGACCCATTACTGTACACATTACTCTCTGGGAACTCTTGAAACCTCATTGCATTGTTCCAAATGAAACTCAATCCAGCAAACAGCTGACGGTTTCCATCACCAATCCCAATCTCATCTCTTCCATATTGGTTATAATCAACCTCCAAATCCTCAAGCCATCCAGTAATGGCCGTGAAAGTATTGTTGATATCCATGCCAAAAGGATCAGATGGCAAAACATCAAGTATGTCAACAGAAGACGAATCTCCGTTACTCCTTCCATAGTCAAAGCAATCGCCTTTTTCTATACTTGAACACCAAGGCTGGGAAAAAATATCACCGCTCCTCTCAGAAATCCCCTCAATAAGATACCCATTGGCTATCTTCATTGGTGAAACCTTGTTTTCCTCAGATAGATGGGAAGAAAAGTGTCTATGTGAAAAGTTTAACGCCATTTCTATTAGTCTATTATATACACTATATAAAAACCTAAAATCCCTTTGTACAGAATCCCTAAAAAAGTTAAAAACCCCTAAGGTGAAAGATCAGATCCGAAAAAGCTATGTATGTTCTTCTTTTTTTTTTTGGTTATTGATAAAGAGAAATTTAGAAACAAACGAAGAAGACGGATCTATAGAGAAAAGGAAACTCTTGATTTCAGATGGCAACAAAAAAATACTTAGACACCGAAATTTTCAGAGCTTCCTTGGTTTAGAAAGTAAGGAACCCTAGAAACCTAGAGAGAAAAGAAACTGAAGCGCTAGATGAGACGTATTAACAACTAATTGGTGACAAAAGAATGAATGAATAAATGGAATTTGCTTCTTTTTTTTGTCTTTTGTTTTTTCTGTTTAGCTCTTCCTCGATCAAAACTAGGGTTCTTAGAGAATTCGAAACCTAAATCCTAAACATTAAAATAATTGATCCGTGGGATCGAATTGGATAAACCAATAGAGAACTTGGAATCAAAGCAAGCCTTCCTCACCCACGTAGAATCGCGATCAACGGAAGACCAAACCGAACCCTTGCCGCGAAAATAAACAAGATCTCCTTTTTTTTCTGGGGAAATCTAGATTCTGAAGAGTTCGAATTAGTATGAAACAACGCAGCAAGTTTCTTCCTTTTGGTGAAGCAATTTCGATTCAAGAAGATCGAAAGAAAGAAAGAGAATGAGAGAACGGGTTGGTGAAATTCGTCGACCGAGTCAAGAGAGAAAATAATGGAAAGGACGAGAAAATTGTGCGAGAAAAAACTCCTTTTATTTTTATTCTTGGGGTCGAGATTTTACGAGGGAGAAAGACAAAAAAAAAAAAAAAAACTGGAAGACGAAAAAAAAAAAGAGGAAAGAGATAAGATTAGGGTAACGGTGAAATCGTCAAAGTCTCTGAGGAGAGGGACACGTGTTGTTTGTAGAATTCTCTGTCATTCTGCTTGCTATTTGATCTGTCGACAAATTGGGATATCTGATTCTTTTCTTGATTTGATAATTTTAATTAAATAATTTTATAATTAAATTCTATAAACATGTTTGATAACGAATTAATGAGGCAACAAACATCATTCAATTATTTTTTTGTAATAAGTACAATTTAATTTAATTTTATAAACACGGAAGACTTTTATTCTATTTATGGTGATAAAATGTCATGGACACATGTTTTTCTTATATGTAATGTACGGTATATCTCATAAAACATCATTATTAAAATAAAGATATGATAATCTCGTTGTAAATCAATGGTTTGCTACTTGCTATTTATGTTTATTAAATACATAGTACCATGAGTTTGAGACATATTTGTTTGCTAGATTTATTCATAGAAAGTGGAATGAATAATGCTTTGCGTTAAAGCCATACATACTCACAAATAATTCAATAAGAGAATATAAATAGATAGAGCAATAGAAATAAAAAAATATTACATATGTAGATATCTATCCATCTTCAATATCAACAAATAAACCAACGAATAGACGAGAAAATGTGGCATTAAGCAAAAGCAAAAATCAGATAAAAGGAGATGTGTTCTTGATTAAATAAAAATGGTAAGCAGCTATTTATAAAATCATGTTTAATACGAAGAAAAAAAAAGGAATGTCTTCCAAAAATATATATGTGTTTGTTTTACCAACACGTAAAGTTTGATATGGACCTGTTTCTATGCTTCGGAGAAGAAGATAAACTTCGAACATTATATCAATCTGAACTTCCAAGATTCTTCTCTTCTGCGTGACAAACTCGGGAATGAATAAAATATAATATATAATAATTGACCGACGACACAACATAACGATTAGGTTATGGAAGATATTTGTTTGATCAATAGTATATATGGAAATACTATAAGTTAAAAAAAAATACTATAAGTTAGACAGAACCAATATTTAAACAAATAAAAAAGGAGTCATTTCGCCAAATAAAAAATATTTGAACAGCCAATCCGATATCGATATTGAGATATAATATTGGTTTTTTTTTGTTTGTTAAAGGAAGTTCAGTTGTTCACAACTTAAGAATAGTCTATCTATCTTTTTTTTTTTTCAAATAATACTCTATCAATCTTTTTTTTTTGGTTCAAAGAATAGTCTATCTATCTAACTTCTAAAATACATACATGTGTATTGTTGATGTGGGTTATTCCTGTTTCTCAAAAAGTCTTGGAATTTGGGCTTATATCAGACCCATCCATAGAGTCTTTAGTTAAATCTGTCTCTCATGCTAGCGAGCAACAATTTATCCTAAAAAATGCTAGCGAGCAACGATAACACTACGTGATATTCTGCTGAAAAGGAATTACAAAGAGGACGAGAAAGAGTCTTTTTCAACTCTTCCAAGAATTCTAATTAATATGCGAACTTAATTACAAAACTCATAAAACCATATGTGTATTAGCTGCTTATTCAACTTTTAATTCATTATTACATGAAGTGATGAAGGCATAGTTCTAAAAGTTATTTTTTTCACCCGAGAACAAAATTAGAAAACTTAATTAAAAGGTGCATATTATATACCTTGTAACTACATAAATTTATAAAGAAGTCTGTGTGCACGTGCATCCTTAGTGAACACTGTACATCCGCCATTGGAGTGAATAATTAACCATGGTTTCGTATGATGCTTTATTGCACGTTTGGTTGTGTTAGTTTATCCCGACTTTTGTTTTTGTTAGTTTTTTGTTTACTGAAATCTGGTTCCTACCTTCTCTCGTACTTAGCAGGATGATGTGCAGTTTAAAACAAGAACCAAAGTTTTGGCATGACTATTATAGAGATTACGAAAACGAGATATGTTTTCTATGTATTCATTTCTCAACCGAAAAAGATAATCCGCCTCTAGTTGAACAGATCAAATGTAACGTAGATGCTGCAAAGCTATGTTACAAGATATTTGAACAAAACAATTTTGCTAATCAAAGCAAATTTTGAGAGGATCTTGTTAAACGTTACCGTTCTTCCTTTCGAAAAGCATCGTTACAAATGCTAAACGACGTCGGAATGTTCGTGTCCCAATCTTGAATTGTTGGGTTCAAGTGCCCGCTTTAAAATTCGTAACCATAAATAAATGAACACAAAAGTAAGACTTGGCAGCCCAGAAGCATCTATCTACACCAAAAAAAAAAAAATTATTACTATTAAAAGAAAGGAAGCAAATAAATCAGTTAAAAAAAATTAACAAGGAATAAAAGTTTGATCCATCAAACGAACACCGTTGGATCATCCCTCGGAAGAAAGAATTATATAACTGGATCACGAGAGGAATACAATTTAATTTATAAAAAGAAAAAGAAAAAGAAAAAGAGCAACAAAATTTAAAAAAGTAGAAAATTCATCATCGCTCTGAGAGAAAAAAAGAAAAAAAAAAGAGGCAGAAAAAAAATTCATACTTCCAAGGGAAAGGGGAAAGAAAAAAAAAAAATCTCCAAGTCAACAAAGAACAACGAGACGAAAGAGGTCCGAAGAACTTTGAATGTTGTTATCATCATCATCATCAACATCGTTGTAATCTCTTTTTCTTTTTCTCATTTGGGTATTCCTCCTGTTGACCTCAATTTGTGTCATTGGCGATTATTGCTTTTTTTTTTCCTAAAAAAAATTCCGATTATCGAATCCCTTTTCTGGTTTTGAGGTTTTCTAAATCCGTATTTTCTGAAATCCATTGCTCTGTGTGTTTGTGAGGGGAAATGTGCAGCTTTCCTGTTGTTTTCGTTCTCTGATTCTCTTTATCACGTTTCGTTTGGGATTGTCACAGAGTTGAAATCGCCGAAAGTTCGCATTTTTTTTTGGGTAGATTGTACAAAAGGGCGTGATTAGAGAAGAAGAAGAAGAAAAAGGGGAAATTTTTGGCTATTTTAATCCGGGAAAGTTAGTGACTTCTCTCGATTTCCAGGTTCGTGATTCGATTCTGTTTATAAGTTATATGCTCCTGATCTAGGATTTGAGGTTTTTCATGATTTTACTTTTCTCAGATGATGAAGAGACCAAGTCTCAGATTGAAACCGATGGATTTGTTCTTCTAGGTGGTCTTGTTTGGGGAATGATTAGAGAATCTGAATTCTTCTGGTGTTGAGGATAATAACTATGTGGAAACAGATTCTAAGTAAGCTTCCCAAAAAGTCTTCAAAGAACGAACATCGTGGACGTGAACACGGTGGCCATTCTTCTTCATCTCATGCTTCCGGTGCGTCTACTTCGAAAAGCAGTGATAATGCCGCCGGAAAATCAGGGAATTCGCAGACTAAGAACGTTCCCGCAGGCGGGAAATCCACCGCTTCTGACTCTGGTTTCAAAGATGGGAATCTAAAGATAAGTGTGAACAACAACAACAACAACAACAACAACAATGGAGTTTTCACTCCTTATGAAGCATTGCCGAGTTTTAAAGATGTTCCAAACACGGAAAAACAAAACTTGTTCGTAAAAAAGCTGAACTTGTGCCGTGTTGTGTTTGATTTCACGGATCCTACGAAGAACGTCAAGGAAAAAGAGATTAAGAGGCAGACATTGCTGGAGCTTGTGGACTATGTTAATTCAGCCAATGGGAAGTTCAGCGAAACCGGTATTCAAGAAGTGGTTCGGATGGTCTCTGCTAATATCTTCAGAACGCTAAATCCTCAACCACGTGAGAATAAAGTTATTGATGCCTTAGACCTTGAGGAGGAAGAGCCTTCCATGGATCTTGCGTGGCCTCACTTGCAGCTTGTCTATGAGCTTTTCTTGAGGTTTGTTGCTTCGCCTGAGACTGACACCAAGTTGGCTAAGAGATACATAGACCAAACTTTTGTCCTGCGGTTACTGGATTTATTTGATTCCGAGGATCCTAGAGAGAGAGATTGTCTGAAAACTATTCTCCATCGTATCTATGGTAAATTTATGGTTCACCGTCCTTTCATCAGGAAATCCATAAACAATATCTTCTATCGGTTTGTTTTCGAGACAGAGAAACACAACGGGATTGCTGAGTTTCTAGAAATCTTGGGGAGTATCATCAATGGATTTGCTCTTCCCTTGAAAGAAGAGCACAAAGTGTTTCTCGTTCGAGTTTTGATACCTCTCCACAAACCGAAATGCTTGCAAATGTATCATCAACAATTGTCTTATTGTATTACGCAGTTTGTGGAGAAGGATTGCAAACTTGCAGATACGGTTATAAGAGGGTTGTTGAAATACTGGCCCGTGACAAATAGTTCCAAAGAAGTCATGTTTCTGAATGAGTTGGAGGAAGTACTCGAAGCAACTCAGCCACCAGAATTCCAACGGTGCATGGTGCCACTGTTTCGCCAAATAGCTCGATGTTTGAACAGTCTGCATTTTCAGGTACCTGTAATTCTTCATTTCTGTCTCAAATTCTAGCACCTCACATTTTTGTTGCACACGTAATATCCCATTGCTTTGACATTTCCTGAAAAAATGCTGTTGCTGTTAGTGTTGGTTGCGCCTCTCATTTAATTCGATAGGCCATATTGTTTGACATACTTAAACTATATCAGCTTTTCGCCTGTGTATTTCCATAAATTACAAATGGAAGAGTTGGATTTGCCGTAATGAAAGTATTAATGTTTAGGAGTGTTGTATTCAGCCATGGACGATACTTGAGACAGTTTCTTAGATAAGTCGATATATAAAGGCTATCGTCGAATAGTAAGTTAGAAAAATGGAAAAAGGTATTTTGCAGTTGAAAGTTATATCGCTTTTGGCTGCATATTGATCTTCGATAGGAAAAAGGTTGTTCATTTCATATAGGTCTAGTGAGTTGTGACTAAAGCTTCAATCTTTGTTTTCAGTATATTACATGCATCTGTCTGGTTTTGTTGCAGGTTGCAGAGAGAGCTTTATTCTTATGGAACAACAATCACATCGAGAATCTGATAATGCAGAGCCGTAAAGTCATTCTTCCAATTATATTCCCTGCGTTGGAGAGAAACGCACAGAACCATTGGAACCAAGCTGTTCATAGTTTGACACTAAACGTTCGAAAGATATTTCATGACCTTGACCCTGAGTTGTTCAAAGAATGCCTTGCAAAGTTCAAGGAAGATGAATCAAAGCAAGCTGAAACCAAAGCTAAACGTGAAGCCACTTGGAAACGTTTGGAAGAACTCGGGGTGCGAAAGGCTTCATGAGGTTAGAGCCGTAGAGAAGAGAGAGAGAGAGAGCTTTCGTGTCATCGATTGGAATTGGGATACTTCTGATGTCAATTCGGGAGAGCATTGGAGATAAAATTTCAAATTGGTCTCTTCCTTGAAGGAAAGGAAACTCAAGATGTAAGATTGTTCCCGTTTTGATTTCCATTATTAATTTTTTTCTTGTTTCCTCTAAAATCTTCCTGTTCATTGAAGCTTGTTGATGGTTTTTTTTTTTTGCTACACTGTCCGATCTCTTGTTCCTCTGTCTACACTTGTCTGATTCATTCATCTTGATACCTGCAAAATTGCAGCTTTAGGGGGTTTGCCACGCTTAAGAATCAGTCTGTTGGTTGTATTAAATACCTTCCCTTTTGGATTTTTTTTTTCAGTTGTATAATAATTTGTTCAAAATCAAGGAAAAAAAATCGTGACTTTGTTGAGAAAAAAGGAGCATTTTGTTATTTTGTTTTCAACAGAAACTCCAGAGAGAATCGTATACCAAAATCTTTGGTTTCAGTTTTGGGGGGAGTTTGTGGATTTGTTTACGAACTCCACAAATCTTGGAACTCTCAAAAGATAAAACACCTAATGCATAATCGAGATTGGTTCAGTGATCTGATTTAAATCTTATAGTTGATTGGTTTTTGAGTTTCGGGTTATGACTTAAAACGTTGTCGACATGCTGTTCCCTGTTCAGACAGTGAAAATTTTCTCTGGTCATTCGGTCTTCTCTCAGTCACCATCCTCTCTTTTCTCTCCCTTAATATCTATCCATTTCTTTTTCTCTCTCCAGATGCCAACGAAGCAATAGCTATGAAAAGCTAAACCCCTTTGTTCGTCGTCTTCCTCTGCTTCCTCTTCTTCTTCTTCTTCTTCTTCTTGGTACTTCGATTGTCTAGATTACTTGGGGTCAAACCCAAGTTCGTCTGCTTCTTTTTATGATTCATGAATCCAGATCTTGCTTTCTGCGTCCAGAAACGATTCACGCGCTTGATTTCTGAATAAAAAGCTACTACCTTTTTGTTCTGGGTTACAGTTTTTTTTTGGTCTGCTTTCTTCTTTTGCTTTGTCTGGATGATTAATCAAATCGAGATCTAGTCAATAAGAGATGTTCACAAGAGCTGTTCTTATGCGTGGTGAGATGATCTTAGGAGTAGTACGGTATACTTCTTCAATCGGATTTTTGGGTTTCTGAGATCTGCTTTTGCTTTAAAGTGTGATGGAAGCTTAAAGTCTCTTTCTTCTCCCGTGTCTAATCTGATCCGAGTCTAGTTGAAGTTTGACTCGTAGATCGGTAGCTTGAGAAGATGTTTAAGCAGATACTTGGGAAGCTTCCTAAGAAACCTTCTGCTAAGTTTTGGGATAATGGTGAGTCCCAAACTCCAGATAACAATCACGGTGATGAAGTTTCAAGCCAGAGATCATCAAATGGAGATTCTCCGGATTGCGTTTCATTAGAGGTGTTGCCAAGGTTGAGAGATGTTTCGATCTCGGAGAAGCAAGAACTGTTTCTCAAGAAGCTTCGATTGTGCTGTGTAGTGTTTGATTTCGTCACCGAGCCTCAACAAAACCTCAAGGAGAAAGAGATCAAAAGGCAAACACTTCTTGAAGTTGTGGATTATGTCATCTCTTCAGGGACTGGAAAGTTCCCTGAATCAGTTATTCAAGAAGCTACAAAGATGATCTCTGCTAATCTCTTTAGTAATCCTCATCAACAATGGAAGAACAAAACTCCAGAAGCATTGGATTTGGAAGAAGAAGAAGGATCTTTGAACCCTTCTTGGCCTCACTTGCAGATTGTTTATGAGTTCCTTCTAAGAATCGTTGCATCTCCCAACACAGACGCCAAGATATCCAAGAAATACATCGATCACACATTCGTTCTCAAGCTATTGGATTTGTTCGATTCTGAAGATCCGAGGGAGAGAGAGTATCTCAAAACAATACTTCACAGGATCTACGGGAGGTTTATGGTTCACCGTCCGTTCATCAGGAAAACTATGAACAACATCTTGTATGATTTTATATTTGAGACCGGGAAACACTCGGGAATCGCAGAGTTTCTTGAAGTTTTGGGATCCATCATCAATGGATTTGCTTTACCTCTCAAGGAAGAACACAAGCTCTTCCTTACTCGGGTCTTAGTTCCTCTACACAAACTGAAATGCTTGCCGAATTATCATCAGCAGCTTTCCTACTGCGTTATACAGTTTGTTGAGAAAGATTGTAAGCTCGCTGATACTGTCATTAAAGGGTTATTGAAGTACTGGCCGGTTACTAATAGCTCCAAAGAAATCATGTTCTTGAATGAATTGGAGGAGATATTAGAAGCAACGCAATTAACAGAGTTTGAGCGATGTATGATTCCGCTTTCTCGCCAAATTGCTCAGTGCTTGAGCAGTTCTCACTTTCAGGTAAAAGTTAGTTAAGAGATTATTAGTTTCACCAACCGTTTGTTAAGAGTCTTGAATTGTTCATGAATGAGACTGCTTGTGTGTGTTTAGGTAGCGGAACGGGCTTTATACTTATGGAACAATGATCATGTAAGTAATTTGGTGAGACAGAACAGCAGAATCATTCTACCGATAGTGTTTCCCGCTTTGGAGAAAAACGGTAGTAGCCATTGGAATCAGGCTGTGAAGAACTTGACCGACAATGTTCTTAAGGTTTTGTCTGATACAAATCCAGAATTGTTCGAAGAATGTTTGCGCAAGTTTCAAGAAGATCAGCAAAATGCAGAGGATACCAAGAAGAAGAATGGAGAAACCTGGAGACAGCTAGAGGAGATTGTTGCTTCAAAAGGACACACATCAATGGCGAAGTAAGAGTTTCTTTTTTTGCACTTTACGCAATCCCAAAAAAAAAATCGGTTTATGTCTTTTGTTTTTCCTGGTCTTTACGCCTGAAAGGTAATATACAATTTAGTTCCTTTGCTTGCTTCAAGTCTCTGGTTTCGTTAAACAGTGTGAGAGATTTTAGCCAGATGTTTGTCCTCTTTCACTTTTTGATTTGTCTGTATACTTTGTTCATGTAAACATCCTTTTAAGAAAAGACGAATTTTCTACTGTCTGAAGTCGCTTAGTCTAATATTAAAATGATCTGTGATGATCTCAATCTAGAAATTTTGTTGTCCTTTAGTGTACAGAGGATCTATTGGCATTTTCCTGCAAGAATCTTTGGACTTTGTCTGTTAAAAAGCTATGTTACAACAGGTTTCTTCTAACAACAAACACCTAAACAGAAACCAAAGAAACAAAATTCTGCAATGACTGTTGCTCGGTTTCTCTATAGAAGGTTTCACCAGAAAAGTCTGATGAGAGTTGATTTGATCTCCAGAGACATGATCAAGCCATCATCTCCAACTCCAAACCACTTAAAGAACTTTAAACTCTCTCTTTTAGAACAGCTCGGTCCAACGATCTTTGGTCCGATGGTGTTTTTCTATTCAGGTAATAAAGGAATCAAACCAACAGAGCAATTGCAGAAGCTGAAGAAATCCTTCTCCGAGACTTTAACTCATTTCTACCCTCTCGCTGGACGTCTCAAAGGCAACATAAGCATCGATTGTAACGATTCAGGCGCTGATTTCCTCGAAGCAGAAGTCAATACTCCGCTTTCGAATCTCCTACAAGAGCCTTCTTCAGACATCTTGCAACAACTGATTCCCACATCGGTTGATTCCATAGAGACAAGAACCAAACTTCTTCTTGCTCAAGCGAGTTTCTTTGAATGTGGAGGCATGGCTATAGGAGTTTGCATCTCTCATAAACTCGCCGATGCGACTTCCATCAGTTTATTCATGAAGAGCTGGGCTGCGATTTCGTCTCGAGGATCGATTAAAACCGTTGGATTTCCGGTTTTCGACACAGTCAAGATCTTCCCACCTGGAAACTTCTCCGAGACTTCCCCTGCACCAGTGGTTGAGCCGGAAATCATGATGAACCAGACTCTTTCGAAGAGATTCGTCTTCGATTCTTCGAGTATTCAAGCTTTGCAAGCTAAAGCTTCAAGCTTTGAAGTGAATCAGCCTACAAGAGTCGAAGCTGTTTCAGCTCTTATATGGAAAGCTGCAATGAAAGCTACAAGAACAGTTTCGAGAACATCGAAACCATCGATTCTCGCAAACTCCGCTTGTCTACGCTCTCGTGTCTCACCACCATTCACAGAGAACTCAATTGGGAATCTCGTGAGCTACTTCGCAGCGAAAGCAGAGGAAGGAGAAAACCAGACAAAGCTTCGAACTTTGGTTTTCGAGATCAGAAAAGCGAAACAGAGGTTTCGAGATAACCACGTGTCGAAGCTCGTAGGAAACCCAGATGCAACAGAGATCATCTGTAACTACCAGATAGAAGCAGGAGACATGATTGCGAGTGGGGATTTCGATTTCTACATCTTCTCGAGTGCTTGTCGATTCGGTTTGTATGAAACAGATTTCGGTTGGGGAAACCCGGTTTGGGTCGGGTTTCCTTCGGTTAGACAGAAGAACATCGTGGCGCTTCTCGACACGAAAGAAGCTGGTGGAATTGAAGCTTGGGTGAATCTGAATGAACAAGAGATGAAGCTTTTTGAACAAGATCGAGAATTGCTCAGTTTTGCCTCTGTGAACCCTTCCGTGATCCAACCATTTCTCCATGTTCTCTGATTATTATTAAATCGGTTTAGATCACTAAACCGGATCTATTTGTTGAATTGGTTCTATTTTGAGGCTTTTGATTTCAATTCTTGTTAATAAACTAGCCGTGGGAGGCCACTGAAATAAAGGTCAAAAATATGGGGGTGATGTAAGAAACAGTCCAGGAGATGAAATGATAGAAAATATAAAAAAAAGTTTCTCATTTTACAGAAAAAAAAAATTTCGTTTCTAATTTAAATCAGATTTTTTTTTTGTCTTCAATCAGAAATCATTTAAGGAAACTCCTGCCTGATACAATACCTATATATTTCAATTTTACCATATAAAGTTATGTTTTTTTCTGACAAAATGTAAAACGTGTAGACTTTTGTCATATTCTCATAAAAGCACTTTCAAATCCTAATAACTGTCTATAAGTATTAATTAAGCATTAGAAAGAAACTTTTGTCTCAAATATACTCTCACAATTTAATATCAAAAGGTAAATTCTTCTACTTTGAGTCCTGAAAAAAAAAAAAAAAATCTCTTCCTCAATTTGATAAAATATTTTCTATATATGATGTTAAAAATATGGAAAGTGGCCGTTGAAAATTTAAATTTTATGCTCTGAGTTCGGACCTACTGGAGATTGGAGCCGAAGCTGATAGATTAAAAAGTTCTTAGTTTCTCAGCCAAAATCCAGATTTGGGGGATAATAAAAGGGGGAAGAAATTAGGGTTTTTCGATTTCGAGAAACAGAAGAAATGAGAGAATCCGTCTGTCTTGTGAGATCCTTCTCGCAACCTGCAGAGATTTCCTCGCGTGAAACCAACGAGGTCAGTGCTTACTGCTCAAGATTTGATCTTATGTGTTCTGATTTGCTTTCTCTGTACCTTCTTCTACTTCGATTCGTTGTTTATCATTACTCGAGCTTTTGTTCTGTTTAGATAAAAAATGTGGGAAATTTCCTGATTTGGGAGCTTTGAGCTGATGGAATCGTGGATTTAGGGTAGAATTGGATCGTGTAGTATGTTAAAAGAGACTCGATTTTGGATATTGATGTTGCTGGTATATAATGTTGTTGATGTATATGAAGTCTCTGATAAGAGAGTTTGAGATATTTGGTTTGCAGGCTGTTCCTCATCGTGTCCTCACGGAATCAGTATCATTTGGTAGATTTGCGTCAGAGTCTCTACAATGGGAGAAATGGTCATCTTTCACTCAGAACCGTTACTTGGAAGAGGTCCAGAGGTTCACAAAACCTGGTTCTGTGGCAGAGAAGAAAGCCTTTTTCGAAGCTCACTTCAAGAACCGAGCTTCCGGGAGAACAGCGAAGACGAAGATGGAAGAAGTAAATGTGAAAACCAGTGATGAAACTGTGTGTGAAATACGGAAAGACAATCTCGTTGATTCAGAAGTACCACTTGTGGTAAATAATGGTATGGCTATGAATGAAGAAGTAAGGCATGAAGATGTGTCTAATGCTGAGGTAGATTCTGTTGTTCCATCAGTTTCTGTAATGGATGAAACAACTGTTGTTCAAACTGGAGAAGTGAAGGTTATCAACGCCGAGAGCTTTGAATCCATGGCTGTTCCCGAAGACGAGGCTCTTGATCAGGTAATGTTCTTGTGCAACCATCAAATTCCTTTTTTACTACAAAATCAATACCTGCTTCATTTTTCTCTCAACGTCCATGGCATTTTTCAGGATAATTCTACTTCTTTGAGCAATGAAAGACGTCCTAGTTCTTCTGATTCGAAGACCTGCAGTATTAGTTCACATCTTGAACCCTCCTTTGTTATTGGCCTGGATCTGCCACTTAAGAAAACCAGAAAAGAGCCACCCTCGAGTAAGAAAAGGTCTATTAGTGTATCCAAAAACCAAAACAGATCACCTCCTGAATCCTTTCACATTCCAATCAAATGTGCTCCTCCTGCTAATACCGAGAAAACCAGAAAAGAGCCACCATCAAGTAGGAAAAGGTCAATTAGTGTATCCAAAAACCAAAACAGACCACCTCCTGAACCCTTTCACTTGTCAGTCAATTGTGCTCCTTCTAGAAGCAGTACCAATGCTAAGGAGGCAGGGAAAGCAGTCAGGAAGGAGAGATCAGGTCCAAGTTCAGTTCATATGTCACTCAACCTTGCTTCTTCTGCTCGCCAAACGAACAAAACAGCCCCGAAAGACATGGCAAGAAAACCCACTTTACATGAAACAAATTCATCAAATGCTAGAAACAGCGTAAACTCCAAGGGAAACGAACCAACGGTAGCTTCAAAAAGCCGCAAGAGACCATTGCCTAGAACAGCAAAAGAAGATTCAAATGCTCCAAAATGTTCAACCAGAGTAATTCTCCTCCCAAGTTTCTCCATTTCATGTATCCCAGACAAATTTTTGTAGACTGACTCTTGCATATATTGTAGGCCTCCGCTTTCAGGTTACCCGAACTTGCTCCCCTCAATATTCAGCCATCAGTAAACAAAAGGTTACTGATCCCTCCATCTTCACCAACACTTCGTCACTTTATACGATTACTAATGATTAACTTGGTTTCTTATATACAGGAAAAACATAACTGTAGGTAGCTCAGTTTCATGCAGAATACCCAACAATGTGCAGAGACAGCCTTCTGCCGGGTAAGCGGTTTAATAATCAACCTCTTAGAGAAACACTTGCTATCTTTTGTTATTGCAATGGCTTGACTTGGTTTATCGAAAGTGTTTGTGCTAGCTCCCTGGTTTATGTGGAAATAAGACGGGATGTTTTTGTCTAATGCCATTTGCAGCTGCGAAAATCTTTCAACTCATAGCAGAACCAGAGCAAAGTCTTTCACTGTAACTTCTCCTTTCAACTTCAGAAGTGATGAAAGGGCAGAAAAGAGGAAACAGGTAATAACTACAGACTCCCCGCTTTATATATCTCGTTCCAATAAGAGGACATTAATAAAAAAGCATAGTCTTATGAAGCTTTCTTTTTTATGTGGCTGTGTCTGTTAGTTCTTCAAGAAGTTAGAAGAAAAGAACAAGAAAGAGGAGCCTGGAAAAGATAAATTGTCTTGTGGCGGCTTAAAGGAGATGTTCATAGATGGTGTATAATACACAAGCTTCAAGGAGATGTGTAGAATAGAAAAACAAGAACTCAATTCTTCATATACCAAACTATGTACTCAATAGTTTATGTAGTCTCAATCTTGTATCATTTGTCAACATGGAGATTGGAAATAACAAAACAATTGGTTCTTTCTCATTGTCACGTTTTGTGTTTCTTTCTTGATTTAGTTTAGACAGGAAGAAATGTAAGTATCTAAACGCACTTTGGCTAATTTGAAGAAAACAGCAAAGCTCTCCTTTTTAACATTTGTTTTCAAAAACGACGCCGTAATGGAGTCGGAAACACCGAGAGCCTTTCGTTTCAGAGGAGAGAGAAAAAATCTTATCTCTCTGTGGTGGTGTGATGTTGTCAGCCATGGCAATGACAGAGCAACGATCTCTCTCTTTTTCTTCTTCTTCTTCTTCTTCAGTCTATTACTTCGTATAGAGTCTCTCTGAAACGAAAGCTTTTTTCTTGTTTGCTCTCTCCATGGCTTTGCCTTCGTGCTTAAAGACAGGAGTTCCGATGTCTCCGACCACCGGATTCAATATTTCCGGAAGTCTCTTGAAGTCTGACAGTGGCTTCGCCGTTCCGACAAAGTTACAGAGCTTTCGAAAAAGTGATCGAGAGAGATTGAGAATCCAAGCCGTTTTCAGCTTTCCTCCGGCGTTTCTGACCAGAAACGGTCGAGCCGAGAAGCAGAAACAGCTGAAGCAGGACCTTCTCGAAGCTATTGAGCCTCTCGAACGTGGCGCCACCGCCTCGCCTGATGACCAGCTTCGGATTGATCAGGTTCTTTTCTCTTTCCTTGTTACAGACACTTGGAACCAGAATTCATAAGAGTAAATTAGAATTGGTCATTGATGGTTTGTTAGGAATGTGATTGGAAGTAAATTCTATATCTCCATTGATCTCACATACACGGCTTTGGTTTGTATGGAGACAGTTGGCTCGTAAAGTGGAAGCAGTTAATCCAACCAAGGAGCCTTTAAAATCTGATTTAGTGAATGGAAAATGGGAGCTTATTTACACAACCTCTGCTTCGATTTTGCAGGCAAAGGTTAGAACTTTACTTGTATTCTTTGAAAACTTATTTTGCTGTGATTTTTTTTTTTGGTGGCTTGTTGTGTCATTCTCTCTCTCTCTCTCTATCTTTAACAATGCAACAGAAACCGAGGTTCTTAAGATCAATAACAAACTACCAATCTATAAATGTGGATACATTAAAGGTTCAAAACATGGAGACTTGGCCTTTCTACAACTCGGTAAAGTTTCAAACAATGACTCTTCCTCTGGATTCTTATTTGTACCATTTGCTGCTGTCTAGGCAAGAACAAAGGATTAAGAACAACTTTCTTCATTAACTTTTTGGAGAGTCATGGCTCCGTATGAGTGTTTGTTCTATTAAGCAAACAACATTTTCGTTTTCTTTAGGTAACTGGAGACTTGACACCCCTCAATTCGAAGAAGGTCGCTGTGAAACTTCAAGTGTTCAAAATTCTCGGCTTTGTAAGTACACTTAAAACTCTTTCTTCTCTGTGCGCGTGTTCCTATGAGAGAACCATGTACTGACCTGCAAATGATTATGTGAATTGGTGTTTGCTGTGCAGATTCCTGTAAAAGCACCTGATAGCGCCCGTGGTGAACTTGAGATTACCTATGTGGACGAGGAACTACGGTCAGTGAATGAAAGTTTTCATTGTTATGTTTGGTGAACAAACATCCAAATCGTTTGAATCTTTAAAGTTAAAAACAAATGTTTTCTCTTTGCAGGTTATCAAGGGGTGACAAAGGGAACTTGTTTATATTGAAGATGTTCGATCCCACTTATCGAATCCCTCTCTGATCTCAGTTTAACTATAAACGGAAAAAATGGTTCTGAGCCATCATACATACATACCTTATCGCTTGTTTTGTCTCTCTTCATCAATGTATAGATGAATGTTTCTACAAACATAAAGTCTAATAACAGAGGGACAAAAAAGAAGAGACGAGCTCTTGTCACAGTTTCAACTTGTTCTGATGGAAATCGCAATATGATATTCAGATGAAAAGCTCAAAACTTTGAAATCGGATAATTAAATGTTACAACGAAAGTTTGGTTTTTTATTAATTTTGAGTGTACGTAGTCGGATTTAGCTTGAGATGTGTGATAAACGACGTCGTTTGAAGCTGGAGAGACACAGACCTCTCCTTTCGGAGTTTGTCATCAAATACAGCCTTCCGACGCTTTCTCCATCCTTCTTCCCCGTAAAACTCTTTTCCTTTGTTTGTTTTGGAAACAGAGTCTCAATGAATCTAAGCAAACATACTTGAGAAGAGAGACGAAAATCTATGATGGGTTTCACTGCTCTGCAATCGTGGAGCAGAGGAGCTTCAACTTCTGTTCATCTCCTTCGTCCAGGTGGGTAAGTTATATTCCCTACTGATTTTGATCAAATTCAGTATTTTCGAAATTTTCTAAATCGTGATTTGATCAGTTTCTTCGAACCCCAAGCTGTATGATGCTCGATCAGTACAAGCAATCAAGTTTTACACTGTAAGATTCTTGAAATTTGCTTGTTCTTGGTCCGAAAAAGATATTCCACAGAAGATCATCTCATTGTCTGATTATTTATCACCAGGTTTTTAAGTTTGATGTAAGAGCCTCTTCGAGCCGTAAATCACTTAAGAAACTCAGAAGAGAATCTCAACAAGGTAAAGACATAACCAGAAGAAATGTTACGGAAGAAGAAGTAGCTCAAGTTTCTTCTCCAAGATTTGAAGAAGCTCAAGTTGATATTTCAACTTCAAAGGACTCCATTGATGTTGTTGTTGCTCCTAGAGGCAAAGTGCTTCAGGCGTGCACTGTAACTTCCGGTTTAATGGCTGCGTTAGGCCTGATCATCAGGAAGGTGAGAATCCCTGTGAGAGTTTTTGTTTTGTTTATTCTAATATTTGCAAGCAACTGATTTGGTTTCCACTTGCAGGCGTCTCATGTTGCTTCGACTGAAGGATTACGAGTCCCAGACTGCTCTACAGATTTACCATGTAACAGCTAAAAAAAACCGATATATATATATATATATATATATATATATATATATATATATGTGGTGTAATAATCATATGAGGGGTTCAATAAACAAACTGGTTTTGTATTGTCTGATCTATCTTGCAGTTGGTTTTGAAACTTGGCATCTCGGGTTGATTGCTGGAATCGTTGTGTTAATATCATCAAGCAGGTTCTTGCTGCTAAAATCTTGGCCAGATTTTGCTGATTCAAGTGAAGCAGCAAACAAGCAGGTAAAACATTACTCAATCATAATTACATACTTATGGTTCTCTAAACTCGCTTAACCGCCTTATATTGGATTCATTACTTGCAGATCCTTACTTCTCTTGAACCTCTAGATTACCTTGTTGTTGCCATTTTACCTGGAATTAGTGAGGTAACAAATTAACACAAAAAAAGTTTTTCCTCAAACAAATTTGGTTCATTGGCTTTGATTGATGTAGAAGATGATGATTCACAGGAGATGCTCTTTCGAGGTGCATTGATGCCTTTGTTTGGAACGAATTGGAACAATATTGTTGGAGTTGGACTCATCTTCGGTTTACTTCATCTCGGCAGCGGAAGAAAGTATTCTTTTGCAATTTGGTAAACTATTTGTATTGAACATTTTTTGGTACCTTAATGCTTATGAGCCTAGTCTTCACATGTTCTTGCATATCTTTATCTATTGAATTCTGTTGCGGTTCTTTTAAATTCTCAGGGCATCGATTGTCGGTATAGTCTATGGTTATGCAGCGGTTCTGTCTTCGAGTCTTCTTGTTCCGATGGCGTCACACGCGCTCAACAATTTGGCCGGTGGTTTGCTCTGGCGATACAGTTCCAAGCTCAAGTCGTTGGAGTGAAAATTACACAAATTTGATAAAAGGGGCTTTAAAAAAATTTGTACAATTTTATTGGATCGTTTTGTGAAATATTTGTAGTAGAAGGTGATTACCGCAATTTTAATGTACCAGCGTCTGTGACAGTCAGACTCCCAGAGGACAAAGTGAAAATAGATCTCTATAAATTAATGACGTGTAAAGTCACAAAAAACCAAATCATAAAATCTAGTTTTGTAGTGAAAGTACTGCTAATGATTCATTATCCCTTCTTTGACCAAAAGAAAAAAAGATTAATTATCTCTTTTGTTTTCATTATTGTTAAGTATGGCAAATGATTTTTAATTTATTGATAGAAGTTTTTTTAGAGTTAAAATCAATATATTGAAGAACACTGTTACAGAAAAAGGAAGTGTTTTTTTGGTCAAAAGTCAGACGCGGAACAATGGAGAGACAGAGACGTACTTGTGCGAATTCTTACTTCGATAAATTAAACTTCTTTATTGATTTTTTTTTGTTCTGTTCTTGCTCACTTTACCTTGACATTAAAGCAACAAGCTTTGAATCCAAAAAAAAAATCTCAGACGAGAGAAAACCTCAGAAACCCAGAATCGAGTTTAGTGGAGAGAGCGATATGCTAGTAGAAAAATGGCGAGTGGATGTGCTAGACGAGGTGGTTGTCCCAGCGATTACGTCGCCGTTTTAATTGCAGTAGTCTGCTTCTTGGTGTATGTTGTTGTTCATCTTCGTTCTTTACTTCTTTTTTTTTTTAGATGATTTCTTCACTTCGAAATCCTCTTTTCGTTTTCGGTTTCTCAGATTTTAGTTTTTTTGAAGATCTGGCTTTTTCGTCTACTGGGTTTACTTGTTGACTCTTTACTTCGGTCGTCTTCTACGATAAATTCTCGATTTTTCGATGTAGAATTTTGGGTTTAAATCGTTTAGTGTTTTGTATGATTTCTCTAGCTGTATATTTCTAAGTGTTTGATATTATGTCACACCGGATTTAGTTTGTTTATACCCAAAGGATCTGTCTTTTAAGTCTTTTGCTGGGATTTAGATGTTTCAGTTTCTTGATACAAGATTTAGCTTTTTGCTCTGGTATGTAAGGTTTGAGAGTAGTTCTAAGGTCTTTACTTGTGTGTTCAAAGTTCAAAAAACATCATTTGATGGCAATTTTTGTGAATATTTTATCTTGATTAACTCCCAAGTTCTTCAATTTCTCTAATAGTTTTATAGATTCACTTGTTTATTATCAGGCTTCTATCGCGATCGGTTTTACCATGTTTGATACATAAGGCTCCTCGTACTAACAGTAGCAGTTTCTGGATCCCTGTCATTCAAGTCTTTTCCAGCTTCAGCCTTCTCTTCTCAATTGTGGTTAGACAACTTGATGATACCATCAATTGTTTTTTAATTTGTTGAGTTTCTAAAGTAATATTTCCAAAACTGACTGTTGTTTAATTGTTTCAGATGTCACTTAATCTGCTTCAATTCAAATCGAAACATTGGGGGAAGTATTGTTATCTTTGGGCAGGTTTGTTTATTATAACAATGTTCAGAAACAAGTGGACAGTTAGATCAACGAGTCTTGTACAATTTGATCAATGTAATGTTTGGTTTCAGTGTGGGTCGAAGGACCACTTGGATTTGGTTTGCTGATGAGTTGTCGTATAACTCAGGCATTTCAACTATACTTCATATTTGTCAAGTAAGTATTGATATTGGATTCCAACTCTTATCTGTATTAGTCTAGATGTTTTTCATGATATTCCGTGATATAATGTAGGAAACGTCTACCACCCATAAAATCATACGTTTTTCTCCCCATTGTTTTGTTGCCATGGATCTTTGGAGCTACAAGTAAGAATTTTTCTAAACTTTTTTTTGTAATTTTTGTACTTTCCAAGTGTTTTTGGTTATTTGCTTGTGTTGGGATAATAGATCATAAGCTAGCTTTTGAATTTGCTTTTTTTAGTTCTCCACGCAAGAAAGCCTCTCAACACTCAATGCCACATGGGTCTTCAATGGACTTTCCCAGTTGCAGGCCTTCATGCTCTTTATGTGCTTGCTTTAGTTGCATTCACAAGAGCGATCCGACATGTAGAGTTTCGATTTGATGAGCTTAAAGATCTCTGGAAAGGAATCCTCGTCTCAGCCACTGCAATCGTTATATGGGTAACAGCTTTTGTGTTGAATGAGATTCATGAAGAAATCTCTTGGCTTCAGGTTGCTTCAAGATTTGTACTTTTAGTCACGGTAAGAATATGCTAATCATCATTTTTGCAGTTAAAAAGGAAGAAAAGGAGAAGCCTTTTGACAGATTTTCTTCTTTTAGGGTGGGATTCTCGTCGTTGTCTTCTTTTCAATGTCAAGTAATCAACCTCTTCTGTCACAAATCAGCTTGAACAAAAGAGAACACTATGAGTTCCAAAGAATGAGTCTAGCTCTAGGCATTCCTGATAGTGGATTGTTATTTCGCAAGGAGGAGTTTCGACCTGTTGATCCAAACGAGCCACTTGATAAGCTTCTTCTCAATAAAAGATTTCGTCAATCTCTTATGGAGTTCGCTGATAGGTACACTCTAGTTTGATGCATTCCCCTCGTTTTCATGCCATTTTACGTAAACAAAACCTTTACATGTTTGTTAGCTGCTACGCTGGAGAAACGTTGCATTTCTATGAAGAAGTGTATGAACATGGTAAAATCCCGGAAGATGATTCGGTAAGAAGAATCTACATGGCTCGACATATCATGGAGAAGTTCATCGTCGCAGGTTTCATTACCATATATAAATAAATAACTCGCTGGTCTCTGGTTTTCTCTATTTAAATCTATAGTATCAAACGCAGGAGCGGAAATGGAAGTGAACTTATCTCATAAAACCAGGCAAGAGATCTTAACCACTCAAGACCTAACTCACCCTGATCTCTTCAAGAACGCATTAAACGAAGTGATGCAATTGATCAAGATGGTAAATTAACCATTTTTCTTTCACTCCTCTTCCGCTTTCAAACAGGTTATTTATTTCTCTTGATTCTCAAATTCGTTTTCTTGTAATGATTTTTTGAAGAACTTGGTGAGAGATTACTGGTCATCAATATTCTTCATCAAGTTCAAAGAAGAAGAAAGCTGCGACGAGGCAATGCACAAGGAAGGATGGAGTTTCTCTCCTCCAAGGATGAGTTCAGTTCAAGGCTCTGATGATCCTTTCTATCAAGAACACATGTCAAAGAGTTCCACTTCCAGATGCAGTAGTCCCGGTTAAAGGAGTTTTAACCGGTATTTAACCAGATTCGTGTCCGATGTTTATAGAAGAAATTCTGTCCACTGTGTAATCCAATCCCCTTTTACATTTCTTGTACATGTCTTGTTGTTATACCAAATTGAAAGAGAAATGTTTGGTTCCGGTTTTGGTTTGGGTTTGAATGTGTATACCGGATATAAATTATGAAACCATACTAATTTTAATATTTGGACAAACTTACTTAAAATAAAACGATACATAATGCGAAACAATAATAGAAACAAAAAAAAATCTATCACATACAGGATTTAATGTCTGGTGCCTCTTGAAATAAGTTAGTTGGTCTTGTGTCATTGTAACATCGGTAAAGTCCAATGATTAGATTAGGCTCTAATCTAACTTAATCTCTTTTCTTTCTTGTTTTAAAAACTATGTTTGTTCTTCGGATTGTGCTTTCAGATTTGTTAATCAATCCAGTCTAGTAGAAATTGATTCTCTCGAATCCAATATAATTCTTCCCCTTCGACCATGTCCTTCAATTTCCACCACTACATTCAATTTTTTTTTTTTTTTGAATGAACACTACATTCAATTTTGAAGGTGAAAATGGAGAAATCTTGTCCAAATGCTCGATTTTATCTTCACTTTAGTTTAAAATGTATAATTTTTCGTTTGGGAAAAGTATTTAGTTATCTTTCCAAGTAAAATTAGCCATCTCAATTCACGGAAAAAATGAAATCTCTTCTAACTAAATTGCAAAATTAAAAGAAAATTTATCTGTAGGTAAAGAGTCTTGTCAATGAATGAAAAAACTTTAAAATATTGTTTGAGCTTAGAAAAATTAATTATTTAAGTTTATGATGACTCTTTCCAAATATTAATGATTATCTCATAAAATATGTTCATTATATTTCCTAAAGAAGTTTTTTCCCAAATATGCAATTATTGGGTCTCGTCGCTTGCAACTCTTGATGATGTTCTTCCAAAGATAGTTTATCAAATTGAAGGGAATCTTTATCAATGTAATAGCTCTTTTTAAAAATATAGTTTAGTTAACAATTTACCTTTCACAATAATCAAATATCAACTGAAAAAAAAATATTAGTTTTTCTCTAAGTTTCTGTTTTGATTATTATATTTACTAGAAAAGAAAAAAAAAACAATATGAAAATGCTGGTAGAACATTCTTGTAGATGAAGCCACAGCTTGCACTTTGTAATTTGCCAGGTTGGTATTGCTTCCAAGCTTATGTATAGTAATCAATTTTAGTTTATAAAGATTACAGAAACGTGAAATCGTGAACATCCATCAAGCTTTGACATATACATTTAGAACAATTGTTACAAAAACCAGATTACTAATTTCATTTTCATAGTCATCATAATCTAGATATGAAACTCAATACTATAAGATGGATCTCAAGTTCTCAACAAATTTGAGTTCTTTTTTTTTCAGAGAAAATAATAGTAAAGGACAAGGAAATTTGTTTTTGGAGATGTCATCATAGTGGATAACTACGTCAGGACTCATGAGTACTAACAATAAACTAATAGCGAAATTCAATTTATTCTCAACTATTAAACAATAAAGATCCGTTGGATGGATAACTTGTTCTACCACTCAAACCCACAAGTTTTGGATACACACGTATGTATACATGCATTCATGTATGAATCATGATGTTATACACCATTGCAGTTATAAGTAATATGTGCATATATACTTACACAATCACAATTATCAGAAAATTTTGGGAGTGACAGAGAGAATTGCTTTATAAGACCGCATAAAGAGACACCACAACTTTCTCTTCTATTCATTCACTTCCCTCAACGCAAAATTTAGAGACTTTCCGAGGAGGAAAACAAAAAAGTTTAATTATATAAGAAATTTGAGGGGTTTTTTTTGTTTGTGAAATTCGATTCCTTTTCTTCACCGTCAATTCTCTATAAAGTAAAAAAATACTCGCCGACCATTCTTTCATATCCATTTTTCTCATATGCTCTCATCAGACAGCAAAACCAAACTAAAGAAAGCCACTTTGGTTGTCTGTAACTTCTGAGGTTCGATTCTTGTTGATGATGAATTGATGATGATGTTGATGGTTTGATGCAGATGGGTTTTCAGAAATTTCGCTCCTTTATCTAACCATGTAAATAGTCTGTTGAATTTCCTTTGATTTTGTCACTGATTGAATCTGGGTAAATGATCAAATCGTGGTGTTAACGTTTTCCTAAATTAGTTGATCTCTTCTGATAACGTTTTCCTAAATCAATCAAAACTTATTTGATTTTCTGGGTTTGTGTTGATCGTGGTGGTAAGGTCAAAACTTGAGTTTCCGTGTGCAGAGGAGAAGGAGAAGTCCTTTGCGTGTGACAAACAGTTTTCTTCCGTATCAGATCCATCTTTCTTTCTTTAAGATTCATTTTGTTCTTATAGAATACTCGTCATCATTATTGATTGCTTCAATTCTCTTCCAAATTTCCTTCTTTCATTCTTGGGCTAATTTGATTTGATTGTTAACAGATTCTCTCTTTGTTCATGATTAGAAAGAGAAAAAAAAGTAACTTTCTTGTTAAAACCTCTAAAATTGCTTCCTTGATACTAGTTTACAGCAATTGAAGCTATAGTTTGAGAAAAGTGACTATGATCCTTACTGGTTTCTGTTTCCTCTGTAGATCAAAAGCTTTAGAACTTGTTTAACATTACTAGACTACAAAATTTGCAGGTAAATAGTGGGATCTTGTTCTGTGTTTTATGTCATAATACAGGAAAAGTCAGAATGTGACTTTTCTTAAGTCGTGATTTGTAGATAATCTGTGTCCAAATGGATGCTACAACGAGTGGAAAACCGGCTTTACAGTACCATAACTTACCGGAGCAACCGGTTTCGACTACTTCTCCTCCTGTGAGTCCATATCAGAGGCAAAAACGCCATTGCTTTGGGGACGCAACTCCTGGAGAGTTTCCTTTAGCAGCTAGCCCTTCCATTGTCCTTCATGTTCTCACTGAATGTAAATTGGATCCTCGTGACCTCGCGAATCTAGAGGTTCTGTTTCGGAAAATTTTGAAATTTTTTTACTGAAAAGTTCCAAGAATTGATGGTTCTGCTGATTTGATCTTTCTTGTTGTCGTTGTTGTTGTTTTAGGCAACATGCTCGTTCTTTAGCCAGCCAGCAAACTTTGCACCGGACTGTAGCTTATCGCTACCGGAGCTCGCTGCTCTCGACATGTGTAATAAAAGGGTGATTTTCAAGCCTATGAATGAAGAAGAACGTCAAGAAATGAAACGCAGATGCGGAGGATCATGGAAATTGGTCCTTAGGTTTTTGCTGGCTGGTGAAGCGTGTTGTCGAAGAGGCAAATCTCAAGCAGTTGCTGGTCCTGGTCATAGTATAGCTGTGACATCAAAAGGCGAAGTTTACACTTTTGGTTGTAATAACTCTGGACAGCTAGGACATGGCCATACAGATGAAGAAACTCGGATTTTGCCAGTCAGGTTATTCTCATTGACACCAAATCGGTTAAGTACATAACCACACCAAAAAAAAAAAACAAGAAGATGGCTTCACTATCATGTTGTGCAGATCATTGCAGGGAATCCGAATCATCCAAGCTGCAGCTGGTACTGGTCGGACAATGCTAATAAGCGATAATGGGAATGTTTACACTTGCGGGAGAGATTCTTTCGGCGAGGCTGATTATGAAGGGGAAAGGACTAGACCGGTTACAACACCTCAGCTCGTAACGTCTTTAAAGAACATATTTGTTGTGCAAGCGGCGATAGGGAACTTCTTTACAGCTATTCTCTCCCGAGAAGGAAAAGTTTATACACTCTCGTGGGGCAACGATGGTAGACTCGGACACCAAACCGAGGCTGGGGATGTCGAGCCACGTCCTTTGTTAGGACCTCTCGAGAATGTACCCGTTGTGCAGATTGCTGCTGGTTATTGCTACCTTCTTGCCTTAGCTTGTCTACCAAATGGCATGTGAGTTCCCTTCCTATACACTATTCTAGACCGGTCATTCTCAACATTTTAAATGTAAGAATGTTGAAATGCTTCTAACAAAAGTAATTTGGACTCTGACGCAATAGTATACTTATATGTTAGGTCGGTTTACTCGGTTGGTTGTGGTTTGGGAGGGAAGCTTGGTCACGGGTCAAAAACAGATGAGAAGTATCCTAAGGTTATCGAGCAGTTTAAGCTATTGAATCTTCAACCTAGGGTGGTTGCAGCGGGTGCTTGGCATGCTGCAGTGGTAGGTCAAGACGGGAGAGTGTGCACTTGGGGTTGGGGAAGATACGGTTGCTTAGGACACGGTGACGAGGAGTGTGAATATGTTCCCAAGGTTGTTCAAGGGCTAAGCCATGTCAAGGCGGTTCATGTCGCAACAGGAGATTACACTACTTTCGTGGTCTCTGATGATGGCGATGTTTACTCGTTTGGTTGTGGAGAATCTGCTAGTCTTGGTCACCATCAAGATGTTGATGAACAGGTTTAGCTAAATAGCTTCCATTGTTTCTTTTGCAATGGAAGCTCATAATTTGACTCTTTTTATGTTTTGGTTTTTTGGCAGGGCAATGGACATGAGAATGTGCTGAGTCCAGCTTTAGTAACATCGTTGAAACAAGCCAAGGAGCGGATGGTTCAGATTAGTCTAACGAACGCGATACATGGGAAGGCTCATACGTTTGCGCTCACGGAATCAGGGAAGTTATTCGCATTTGGTGCAGGCGATAAAGGTCAGCTTGGAACAGAGCTTGGTCGTAACCGAACCGAAAGGTGTGTACCGGCAAAAGTGGATATCGATCTCAGCTAATTAAGCGGTTTAGCGGTTTGTTGGCAAGGAAGGAAAATTGCGTTTTGCTTTTAAATGTTTAAAAGACTTTGGAAGGGTGTACAAAAGGAGTGGGGGAACATAAGTTAAGGAACTTGTCTTAACATTTCATTGTATAGGGTTTTCTAGATTATTCTAATTGTTCATGGTAATGTCTTTTAGGTTACGTTGTTAATAATTGTCGAATCCATTTTATTGTAAGGTTCAGTCTCTATTTCATTTGTTTTTGTTATAAAAGCCTAAAAGACTAACAATATTCTTCACGCTCATCTCCAGCAATTTGACTAATATCGTTTCGACATCTTCTTCTAGCACTCCCTCTTATGTGATTAAATCTCAGAATTGGGTCAATGGTACATTATTGGGCCACGGTATCGAGCAGGCTCACTTGGGCTGAACCGGTCCAATCTATTTAATTATCCGGTTTATAGACGGATTGGATTTAGTGACAACTCCCGCGCCAACACCACCCATGTGTGTACCGGCTGCTGATTCAGAGGGTTTCATAGATTTCTTAACTCTCTCTCTCTCTCTCTCTCTCTCTCTCTCTCTCTCTCTCTATAGATCGTGTATAATCTGATCCGTTCCGATCACAAAATTTCGTGTCGTCGGCTTCAAAAGAAGATCATAGAACTCACCACTCGATGGCCCTCAATCTCCGCCGTAAACAGCTTGGTAAATTTCGCTCTTCAAACTCTATTTTGTGTTTGTTTTGATGTTGATCGTTTTAATAGTGACATTTCCATAGTCTTGCTGGTTCTTCTAATTTTCCCCTTCACTGTACAAGATCTAGATCGAATCTTGTTTCTAGGAATCTGAAAAACGATGCCTTTTTTATTTGTTTTGTTCCGTTTATGTTTCTTAAAGGTTGGATTTTTAATCTTCCGGATTGCGGAATGTGTTAACCCTGATGCTGAACCTGAACATGAACCTTCCTTGTTTCTGTTTGCGTTTGTGTTGTGTAAATGATGGATCTTTTCAATCTTCCTGACCCGATTGCAGAGTGTGTGATCCGGATGCTGAACCTGAACCAAGCTTTGGATCCAAGCGAGGTATTCTACAAGGTCTTGATCCACGACGATTTCGGCAAGAATATTATCGCTCCTTTAATGCGAATAGAGGATATTCGTAGACAAAGTGTTACACTTGTGTTGCCCATCTATAATCAAGAGAGAAAGCCTGTTCCTGCTGTAGCTGTCTACTTTGTTCAACCCACTGAAACCAACATCAAGAGAATCTTAGCAGATGCTTCCAAATCTCTCTACGACACCTTTCACCTTAATTTCTCGTCTTCCATCTCTCGCCCGCTCCTCGAAAGCCTCGCTTCGGGTACTCTCAATTCAGGTTCCGTTGAAAGGCTTGCAAAGGTGCATGATCAGTATCTTGAGTTTGTGACTTTGGAAGATAACTTTTTCTCCTTGGAGCAACGCTCTGTCTATCTTCAGCTGAACGCTCCACCAGCAACTGATGGAGACATTAAGGAGGTAATCGAAAAGGTTGCAGATGGGCTCTTCTGTGTATTGGCAACGCTTACTGTGGTGCCTGTTATACAATGTCCTCGTGGAGGACCAGCAGAGATGGTTGCATCTTCATTGGATCAGAAACTGAGGGATCATCTTAATTCGTCCAAGAACAATCTGTTTACAGAAAGGTCTTTTCAGCAGCGGCCTTTGCTGTGCATTTTCGATAGAAACTTTGAACTCTCGGTCGGGATTCAACACGACTTCAGATACCAGCCTCTTGTTCACGACGTTTTGGGACTAGAGCTCAACAGTTTGAATTTGCCAGGTGAAAATGGTGGGAAGCAAAAATTTGTAGACATTTCAGACCAGTTTTGGTCGGCCAACGGTTCTCTAGATTTTCCTCAAGTCGCCATGGAGATCGAGACTCAGTTAAACAAGTACAAGAGAGACGTGGAAGAGGTTAACATGAGAACAAGCGGTGGGAGGAAAAATAGTGCAGAGTTTGATGGGACTGATCTGATCGGGAACACCAAGCATTTAAAAGATGCTGTGAACTCACTTCCAGAGTTGACAGAGAGAAAGAAAGTAATCGACAAGCACACAAACATAGCGACCTTGCTCTTAGGAGAGATCAAAGAGCGATCTCTGGATGTGTACACGGAGAAAGAGAATGACATGATGATGAGAGGCAGCATAGACATGAGCGATCTACTCTCTGTTCTGAAAGGGAAAGGTAGTAAGATGGACAAGCTACGTTTTGCCATCATGTACCTAATATCGTCGGAAACCATAAACCAGTCCCAAGTTGAAGCCGTGGAAGCTGCGTTGCGTGAAGCTGAGGCTGATACAAGCGCGTTTCAGTATGTGAAGAAGATCAAGTCCCTGAAGAACGTCTCTGTGGCAGCCTCGGCAAACTCCTCTGCCAGTGGAGGGAACATTGTTGATTGGGCTGAGAAGCTCTATGGCCAGTCCATAAGTGCGGTCACTGCAGGAGTCAAGAACCTCTTGTCCAGTGATCAGCAACTGGCGGTGGTCCGGGCTGTTGAAGCTTTAACCGAGGGAGAACCGAACTCAGAGACAGATTCATACCTGATGCTGGATCCGAGAGCTTCAAAGTCAGGCTACAGTGGTGGTAGCAGCCATGGGAAGGGGCCGTTCAGAGAAGCAATAGTTTTTATGGTCGGTGGGGGTAACTACGCTGAATATAATAGTTTGCAGGACCTCTCGCAGCGTGAGAAGACGGTCAAGAACATTATATATGGAGCCACAGAGATCCTTACCGGAACTGAGCTCGTCGAGCAGCTCGCACTCTTGGGACAGAAGATGGGACCGACATAGACAGGCCGGCTTCTAAGAAAGATGTTTGATAAGTTCTTGGTGTTCTTATAAGTTAGTCTATCGGGTGCAAGTGTTTCTTGTGGGTTTAAGTTTAAGATGGGTTAATAGTAATATTCATTTTATTCTCAACTATTAAACAATAAAGATCCGTTGACTTGGATGGATATAACTTGTTCTACCACTCAAACCCACAAGTTTTGGATACACACGTATGTATACATGCATTCATGTATTATGTAAGTATGATTACTTATGGGACACGGAAGCTAAGCCCAATGGCAATGGTAAGGAACATTTACCTACAATAATCTTTAATTGATGCCCAAAAACATTAAACATCCCTACTTGTTTCAGATTAATACTAACTTTAACATCCCCCACCTAATAACCCTTTCCATTTCACAGTAACTATGGTTTTGTGACAATTTGAACCCAAAACAAAACAAAAAGAAAATAGTCATCAATTTTTTTGAAAATTCGAATATCTGTGCTCTTTAATACATTTACAGTTGTGAACCATAATTAAAAATCACAATAGAATTTGAACCAAATATCCCATTACTAAATTCATCAATTGAAGAAAGGTTGGGCTAAAATTTTACTCATTCTTTTCTTTTATTTTTCTGCTATATTTGTTTGATAAGATTGACATAAATAAGAAGCTGCTTAAAATTAGGGAAGAAGATTGCATCTTTCCCAGCCGTTAATATTTTTGGCAAACCTCAAATTTCGCACTTGATCAACAAACTATATAAATAAAGAGCCTCACTACACAATTAAAAAAAATAAAAAAGGAAAAATACCCATTAAACATTTGAAAAAAAGTTTTTTGGGGATTATTAATTTAACTAATTTAACTAACATAATGGCGCGCCTTCACCTAGCTCTCCTCCTCCTCTTCGTCGCCGTCTCCGCCGTGATCGTATCAGCCGCTGATAAACCACCATCGACAACCACCGCCGGAGCTCCCACCGCCACAACTCCGACCGACGGAGATGTAGATGTAGCGGAGGCTCCGGGAGACGACAACGCTATTGGAACAACCGATGATGATGCTGCTGCTACTCCCGGAGATGATGACGTGGCGGTCGCCGGACCTATCGGAAGCGATTCTTCCTACGCAAATTATCCGCCGCCTCAACAAGCTTCCGGAAGCGTCGCCACCGCCACGATTGGCTTCGCTTCTTCTGTCGTTGGTGCGACGGTTGGATCGCTCTGCTTTTTCTGAGCTGTGATCGGCGCGTGAAAATTAAGAAATTAAGATTACTTTTCTTAATGAATCTTTGTAATATTTTCTTGTAGATATGTATAAATATTTGCTCGTCCCTTCATTGGTAAAACTGGGATGATACGGAAGTATGAAATATTAAACAAAAGTTTTTATTTTTTTCTAGCTGGTCCGATCGGATCATTATTACAATATAAAACTTTAGAGGATGAGCAAGTTTATCAATATATAAAAAAATGAAATATTGATCGTTTCTTTTCATATGAGATTTGCTATCTAGTGGAATGAACAAGTTTATCCATTTTCCAAAAAATATGCACACTCATGAACCCACATAACATTGGATTTAACGAGGACATTTATTTACTTCAACGTAAAAAAAAATATATATAAATATGTCCTTTTTGGGTCAAGAAATGAATATAAATAGTTTTTTTTTGTCGTGTCTATAGTTTTAAATTCATTCAATAACTTCATAGTAAAAAAATGAACTTGTTGATGTAGATCTTTTATAAAGCCACAAGAGATGGGCCGTGCGCTTTCACAGGCATGGCCCAGACACGTCTATGCAAGCGCGTGTCCTTCACGTAACAAAACTTTTTTTTTTTTTTTTTTTTTTTTTCACGTAACAAAACTTGATTCCTCCTTAGCCGATAGAAAGAAGAATTTGCAGAGAAGACGAAGCGACAATGAAGGTCCAACGGTCAACCTTTTTCGCGTTCAACGGGAAGTCGAATCTTCATCACTTTCACTCCTCTCAGGTTTCTCTTTTCTTGCCTTGTGATAAGAAAGTTCGTTTTTTTTTTGTTTTAATTTACTTCTGAGAAAACCCAATTTGCATTTCGAATCCCACTATCCAAAAATCATGGATTTAGCTTTGAGTTTATTGGTTTTGAGTAAAAAAAACTATCTTTTTTATTTTTTGATTGTAGGGAATTCGCATTTCCGAGCTCGAATCACGAGAGTTTGTGTCGAAGTTACTTGATAGGAAATGGGGATTACAGAGTCCTGCAACCCCAATTCAGAGAATCAGTGTTTCTTCTGCTAAAGAAACTTGTAAGGAACAAGGAATCGGAAAATTCTCCTTCTTCAACAACACTAGTCCAAATCTCGGGGATGAAGTGTCAAAAGGAAATCAAGAATCGTCTTTTTACATTATGAGAGATGATCTCTTACATCCTCTTGTGAATGGCAACAAAGCTAGAAAGCTTGATGCTTTGTTACCACTTCTTCAGGATCATAAAGTGACTGATTTGGTGAGAATGAGTTATCTTCTTCTTTCAAGTTATTGCTTATTTTCTCTTACAATATTTCTCAATTGGGTCCTTTGGAAAAAAGGCTTAAAAGCTTAGGAATTTTGTTGTATATAGGTTACATGTGGAGGGTGTCAAAGTGCTCATACAGCTGCAGTTGGTATAGTTCTCATTATCTTATAACTAGAGAACTAAGCCGAGTTAGGTTTTGAATGAATTGGAAGTGAATGGCTTGTCTGTTGCAGCGGTTTCGTGTGCCGAGAGAGGTATAAGATCACATTTGCTACTGCGTGGAGAACAGCCCGACGTTTTGACCGGTTATAACCTCGTTTCAACTATGTATGGAAATGTTGAGTACATTCCAAGATCTAGGTATGCGAATAGAGAGCAAATGCTGAAAACTCACGCTGATCTGGTTGCTGGAGAAGATGGTTCTGTTTTATGGGCTAAAGATATCGTTGAGGACCTTGAGGCTATGGATGTTGCAAAAATGGATGATTTTTCTACTTCCAAAGCTTCTCCTAGAAAGGTTCTGATCGTCAATGAAGGTGCAGGAGATGCTCTTGCATTACTCGGTAAACATCAATTTTTGAATAAATTAAGATACTGCACCAAATCAATGTGGAAGAATTGGGCCAAGATTATCGTTTAAGAAGGGCTTTGTCACTGTGCAGGTATGTTTCGGTTAGTGCAGTATTTGTCACAGGATCATTTACTTGGGAAGACAAGGCCGGTCAAATTTGTAGTTGATGCTGGTACTGGAACAACTGCTGTGGGTTTAGGAGTTGCAGCTATGTCTTTTGGGTTAGGAGCTTTGTTCACAAGATTTATACTATTTGTGTCTGTTTTCTTTTCGCTTGCCGAAGCTTTTAGCATCTTAATCACCAGCTCACTTAAAGTTCTTCATAGGCTTCCATGGGAGATCAATGCAGTGATGCTTGCTGATACACTCGAAAATTACAAGAGACATGAAGATCGGTTGATGGCAGAATTTACGAGGCAGTTTCTTGCCTCGATGGTCTGCAGCAGCTTGGATATGATCAAATGGGTAGATCGTCAACACCCGAGAAAGTATGCTTGCAAGTTCTTCTTTTCACTATTGAAGATTTAATAAAAATGATATTTTTCCGCCCCAAGTTTGAAGCTTTATATTGGTTTGCTGGATTGACATTCGATCCATTATCTATGTTTCTTTTTTGTTCTTGCAGATTTGGGAAGGTCTTGGAAGGAGAAGTGGAGATGTGTAGGAAAATTGCGCAAGAGACAGGAGTCTTAGTGGATCCAATGTACACTTTAGCTGCTTGGGAGACGGCAACAGAGCTTGTGCAAGACGAGAAATCAAGCATTGTAGTGATGCTTCACACTGGAGGCACTCTTGGGATGTTTGGTCTTGCTCAAAGATACAAATCTTGCTTCACTAACTTGACAGATTAGGCTTTAGCATGATACAATTTCCAAGAATTCAGAAACATAAATCTTAAGATGAATAGAAAACTTCAATTTTGTAGGACAAATTCTCCACTAAACAAACTTTCTAATATTTTTACCATAAAAATTGGTATTCCATTGTACGGCTATCGAGAAGAATCATATTTGTACAACAAAGAAGATAGTAATATACGTCTTGGTCTAAAAAAAAAATGTGATAACGGAAGCAAACGTGGTAAGCAAGAAGTTGTATCAAGTAATATTATTACTTTATCTATAAAAACGAAAACCAAGATTATGTGGTTTTGGTCGTTGGCTTTGGAGAGTCTTCTTCTTGAACCAAGATTTTCATGTGCACGTGCGTTTAGTCACTACTTCGTGTCTAACAACAGTTTCTTCTATAGACCAATATCCACATTAAACAAAATTATTTGTTAGACACACAAAACGATTGCTTCTAAAGATCCTTTGATTCTTATATCATAAACCTTTTTTTAATTATTGTAAGCATGCATTTTGTAGTGGTCTTGTGTGTGTAATCTATGTCATTTTAGATTCGCGTTAAACAATTTAGAATCGCGAAAAAAATGAATTTTTTTTTTTGGTTGAAGAAAAAGAGAATATAGACTTTAGCTAATTATTGCGGACCTTAAATGATTTGGAGACTATACGTACTTTGTAAATATAGTGAAAATATGAAGAAAAAAAAAATCTTTTGTTTTTAGTTTACTCAATGGAAAGAAAAAAACAGATCTCGTGGACGTGGTTGGGTAAAAAAGAGTGACCATGATAATGATTTACAAAAAACGGTTCAACCATACGGTAAAAACTTTGTTTACTGCGATTTATGATGGTTCATTTTTGTTCTTGTAGCTTTATTTTATAATTTTACTAGGCAACCAAAATGTTACCATATAGCATTTTTTTCCCTCTAATCGCACCTCTACTTTGTATGCTCTGATTGTCTAAAAAGCCCTCGACACACCCGAATTTTCTGACCATGACCAAATTTTATCTCCTTAACAGATCGTTTTTTTTTCTCTGTTTTCAAATTTCTTCAAATATTCAAAAGAAAACTGCACAACTGAAAATTAAAAGATTGAACATTTTCCACGTACTCAGTATCCGTGTCGCGTAGGGACTTTAATCTACATATATTGCCTCGTAAACCAAGAACCCAAGCCTACAAAAAGTGAGTAGGGGTATTAACGTAACTTAAACAAAAGGAAATAATCCGATATATTTTTTGGAAAAAAACAGTCATTTTCGAGAAACTTAAATGCATCATACAAATTGGAAAGACATAACAAAAATAAACATAAAAAATAAACATTTGTTCTCTTCCACTGTCTTGTCTACTGAATTAAGAGAGAGAGAGAGACGACGTTACAATATCTCTCACACGATCAAGAAAACTTCACATTCGCCGGTAAAAAAAAAAAAAATCATTCCTCTCAGAAAGAAAACAAAAAGAACTGTTAATGGAAGATTCTAGAGCTATTCCGTTCGCCGGAAATTTAGACCCTCGAGCTCAAGAGTTTGTACCTTTAAACCCTATCTCCCCTCGTTATTACTTTCCTTACACACCTCCTCCGCCGCCGCTTCCGCCGCCTCCTCCGTCGTCGTACGGAGTATCTCCGACGGAGCCAAGAGTTTTCACGTTCTTTAATCTCCCACCACATCCGATGATGTTTTCTCCTCGTCCTCCACCACCACCACCACCACCACCACGTCCGTGTTTTAACGGCGTTTCTGCCGTACAACGGCTTCCTCCGCCGTCAAATTCTCCGACGCGGTCTCTTTCTCTGATCTATGTTCCGCGTGACGTCACCGAGTCGACGGTGAGACGCGACTTGGAGGTGTTCGGCGACGTGCGTGGCGTGCAAATGGAGAGAATCTCACAAGGAACCGTGACCGTACATTTCTACGATCTCCGTGACGCCAAAAGAGCGGTTCGAGAGATTTGCGGTAGATACATGCAGCATCAAGACAGACTCGGAGTTAACGGTAACGGCGTGAGCGTTAGCGTTTGGAGCTCACCGTCTTCTTCATCGGCGCGTGGGTTTGTTTCCGGCAGACCTGTGTGGGCCCAGTTTGTTGTTCCGGCTACTAGCGCCGTTCCCGGTGGTTGTAACCAAGGAACGTTGGTGATATTTAACTTAGACCCTGAAGTCACTTCCGTTGCTCTCAGACAGATTTTCCATGTTTACGGTAATGTTTTTTTTTATTTGGTTGTTGTAATTTTCTATGTCTTGATTTTGTTTGATTTTTTTTAGTTTTGTTTCCTCGATTTGTGGATATGTCAGGAATTAAAACATTTTCGAAGACTAAAACATTTTTCAATTACAATATTAAATGAATCATGCCCTTGTTTACATGCGATGGACTATATTGGACTGTTTGTTTAATTATGTGAGAACATTTAGTTTGTAATTTTTATCTTCAGGTCCGATCAAAGAGTTGAGAGAGACGCCGTACAAGAAACATCAAAGATTCGTTGAATTTTACGACGTAAGAGATGCGTCGAAAGCGTTTGATCGAATGAATGGTGAAGAGATTTATGGGAAGCAAGTTGTGATCGAATTTAGCCGACCAGGTGGACTTATAAACAAGTTCAGGTCATTTAGGCAACCGCAGCTACCGCTTCAACCGCCACCAATTCTGGCTCCTCCTTTGAGACCGTTTGCAACTACTCTCATGAAGGATAAAGACAAGAATGTGAGCCCTAATCATGAAGTTGTTGTTGAATCTTCTATGCGTTCGTTGTGTATCTTCAATGATGATGATAATAAGACCCGAATGGAATCGGAAACAAAGAACAAGAACGTGGCTAAGTGTGGGAAGAAGAGACAGATGAAGAACAAGGAACCAAGTCAATTTCTTATCAGTGAAGAAACCTTGGATGATCCAAGTTGCAGAGATCCACGTACCACTTTGATGATCAAGAACATACCAAACAAGTACAGGTTTGGCTTTATAATCTAATTATTAGTATTTTAAAGTTTTAAGGCTTTTTTTCAATTATCAGTAATGTAAAGACTAGGATGGTGATCAAAGACTAAATCTTTTTAATCTTTCAATAAAGAATTTATATAGATTTAAAGTTCGAAGCTTTTTCAAACTCTAGGATGGTTGAATATTTAGATCTTTCTAAATTTTTTTATTAAAATATTCACTTGGATTCGTGTGCTAAGATGCTGTTTATATATTCAAAGATTTATATTCTAGATAAAATTCTCTTAATGTTCCATTAAGCTTTTGATTATCTTCTTGTTTGATATTGCATTAATTGACTAACATTTTCATATTTCAGATTCTTGTATGGTTCTCTTAATGAGATTCCATTTGAGCTTTTCTAAGGTTCAATATTGTTTTGTTTTGTTTTGTATAGTCAAAAGCTGCTGTTGAATATGCTAGACAATCACTGCATTCACATCAACGAAGCGATCACCGAGGAAAGCGATCATCATCAGCCCTTTTCTTCTTACGATTTTGTGTATCTTCCCATGGATTTTAAGTAATCAAATCAAAACCCATTGACTATATACTAGTAGTGGTTATTTTGATAACAATGATCATAACTATTTCTTTTGTTGTTATATTAGCAACAAGTGTAATGTTGGCTATGGGTTTGTGAACATGACGTCTCCGGAGGCAGCTTGGAGGCTTTACAAGACGTTTCATGATCAACGTTGGGAGGTTTTTAATTCGCGTAAGATTTGTCAAGTCACTTATGCGAGGGTTCAGGTATTCATACACATTACTGTTTTGAATTGAATCGCAAACTACAAAGCATCATGCTTGAGTTTAAACCCTTAAATTGTTCTGTAAAACGCGTGGAACTGTTCCACGAGATCCACATTTACCAAAGTTTAAGCTATAAGTTAAACCAAAGTCGTGAACTTGTGATAAACTGATAATTAAGTGTCACAATGTGTTTATTTTGGTACTTTTGACCGTCAAAAAAGGGTTTGGAGAATCTAAAGGAACACTTCAAGAGCTCGAAGTTTCCTTGCGAGGCAGAGGTTTACCTTCCGGTGGTTTTCTCGCCTCCACGAGACGGTAAGCAGTTAACCGAACCTGTCTCTATCAAAATCAACGGCTGCACCGGACTCATTAGTCATCATCTTGAGCCAGTGGACGGTCAAGATCACTATGTGAGTGGATCATGTAGCGGCAGTGATCATGATAACAGTCAGGAAGACGGATTTTCCGGCAGTAGCATAGATGGTGGCCGGAGTATCACCGTGAAAGGAGATACATCTTTGTAGGTGTTGTTTGAAATGTAAAACGTAAGATATCATAAGTGTAAGTAAACCTAATTTTGTTTAGATTTGCACCTGTTTTGTTGTTTCAATCTAAAATCCTTTTTGGTCATTAGACATGATTCAGTTTCTCATGCAAAGTTCTAAAAAGCGAAAGTTTGGGAGGATGAGCCAAATAACAATGAATTTTAAATTATTTAGATAAATTATTATGTGGTAATCATGGAATTAAACAGTATTTCGAATTTTTGTTTTCTATTAAATAGTGTGGTGCTGGATAGAATAGTATGACTAAATTGTGTTATTTCTTATAAACTGATCTGTTCAAAGTTTAATCCCTAAGCTACTCTACAAGAGCACAAATGTGCAGTTATAGTATGTAGGGGTCGAACCACAAAGACAAGAGATCACTCAATAAACCTTATAGAGATTGAATTACGTTAAACAGAAATATTGTAAATAAATAGCAATGCAACAGAATTAGACTAAGCAGCAATAAAAACGGTTTGTAAGATTCAGATGGATGGAGATTAGGCTTAGGGCGTTTCTCAGGAAATCAATGCATGCAGATCAATCGATTAGTCAGGGTTCAGGTTTAAGCACAATTCTTGAACTCGAATCACAGAATTATAATTAACCAACTTCCGTTGTGAGAATTATCTAAGTCAAAATCCTAGAATTCCAAATTCCTTTGCAAACCCTAAAGATTTAAACCAGCTTTAATGCTCAAGTTCGATATGTTCACAAAGTATCTAAACCAAATTCCTTTGCGAATAGCTACTTTGCTCACCCTAGGTTCTTTCCAGTTATTCAATTACACTTCCGTGTCAATTAAGCAACCTAAGATCTAAGTTCTAGGTGGCCAATCCAGAATTAGCTTTAAGAACAACCTATGGTGAAGAACTAAATAGATTATGAACCCTAACTAACCAATCAATCTAACATCCAATGAAATCCTTTATGAGAACCCTAAACCTAACAAGCAAACTACTCAGACATGGAGATTGAAGCAATAAGCATGATTGAATAGCTTGCAGTAAGCAGTAAATAGATTAATAAACAGGGGTTCGAAATCTTCTCTCTCCGGAACAGAGTTTCAGACTTGTCTCCCCAAAAACTCTCAAAAACAAAAACTCTCTCTAAGAAAATCTAAGGTTATCGTAAAAAAGGAATAAAAACCCTATATATATCTCTAAGACACGTTTTGGGCTTCCTTGAAAACGTTTGGGCCCAACTCCTTCTTCAAATAAAAAACAAAATCACGTTTTCCTTATTTCTGCAACAAGTGTCGTGCGTCACTCTCCATGGTGTCGAGCGTCACTAAAGCACAAAATCCATACTTGACGAATTTGATCCTGATTAAGCTCCAAAGTGCTCCAAAGTCTCCAGTTAAGCTCCAAACGTACCTATGACCTGAAAAGACTCCAAAAGACTCGAAAGACACTAAAAAGACTCTATAAATAAGACTTATACCATGGTTAAAAACCATAAAAACCATGATATATCAACTCCTCCAGACTTAGCATTTGCTTGCCCTCAAGCAAACATAACACCAAACAAGAGAAAGAAGTTTGAAAACACAGAGACTCAACCTTTCATTGGAACATCGCTTTTGACTGATCACCCTGCAACTCAACTACTGCTTCATCATTCCAAATCAAACCACCATGTACTTCTCCGTAGACATTCACAGCTTTCCAGATTAAGTCCAAAATTCCACAACATGGTCCATAAACCTTCATCGCTCGATCTCACTGATGATTCAGATGCCAAGAACCTTCTAGATTCTTTCCCATTCTGTACTCAAACAAATCAGCCATACAAACTTTGGTACTTTTCTCTCCCCCAGACTTATTCTTTTCGCACACTCATCATCATTTTTTTATGGCATATACTCGATAAGGGTAAAGCTGCAAGTACTGATGGTGTTTGCCACCAAGTCCCCAAGTTGTCCCCTTACCTTGTATCAAAGGTTTTCAGCGAATAGTGGGGTCATGGGAAACATTCCTACCCCTCACTTCCTTCCTTTGTGTGATCATTCCAACTTAGAAGTGAAATAATGGGATCCTTGGAAACATTCCTAGCCCTTCACTCCTAAACGAAAATCATCTCAATCTTTTCGCCTTTTTCTTTGTTTTTCTTCTTCTTAGCTCGTTACAAGGGAGAGAAATACCAACATTAAATTTCACAGAGGCTTTCATTGATCAAGTATGAACGAGGAATCAAGCTCTAAGGCATTAGTCACATCAGCGAGTTAAAAGTGAAGTTCAGAACTTAGCTCAGGTTAGTGGATTCTGTTGGAAACATGAACGCCTCTAGTGAACTGGTCAGCCTTTGGATTTTTCATTAGTCGGATCTAGACTGAATCTGCAGCAGTGGTCACTTAGGTGAAAGGTCAGCACAATAATTCCAGGAAAAGCATCATGATCTCCAACAGGTTTTGACTCAAAAACGTTTTGACACAACTGACTCTTAAGAAAAACAAACACAATGTCAGCAACTACCTCCCCCAGACTTGAATAACACTGTCTCCAGTGTTATCTAGTCCGAAGGTGGCGAAACAAAATAAAAGAAACAGAGAAACGCAGGAAAAACAGAGAACTTACCTGGCTGCAATGATGGTGTCGCGCGACACTGATGATAGTGTCGTGCGACACTTGTTCTCCTCGTACCGAATTGCAGCAGATCCATCCGAATTTCTGGTTCGACTCCGGTTATCTGATTTCCTAATTTTTTTTTTTTTTTTTTCAATAAAGGTAGAAAATCAAGTGACAGGCGACACCGAGTATGGTGTCGCTCGACACCAGCCCTGTTTCACCTAAAACACGAAAAAGAAAAACGAAAATCAACTGAAACAAAAGACTTATTTACAGACTCACCAGTGGATTGCCTTCCACCAAGCGCTTGTTTAAAGTCATTAGCTTGACTATGGATAGACTATGCATCTGGTGGATCAGACAGTGGCAAAGAGTGCCTCTGTGAAATTCGTCTCATCCATGGTGGTGTGTAAGCGTTGTGCGCATGAGGTCGTCCAAGGAATGCAGGAATAGCACCAGGGTGAGATCTGTGTTTGGGTGGCCTTGACCTATTCCCTGCAATATCATCAAACGAAAAACCAAGTGCTCTACGATAATCTCGTAGCTTGCGTCGTGAGACAGAGCCTGCATCCTTTGAATCAGTTCCAATGATATCACGAGAATTAGGCTTAGGCTCAAGAGGTGCGTACCTTTGCTTTGGTGGAGATGGATGGAGTGCAATGTTTGGAGCTTCCTGATCAACAGCAGTCACTGGTTCTGTAGACGTTTTCGTCAACTCAGATTGATCTCTCACCATCTCAGCATCAAACACGTTCTGATCTCCAACTATCACTTCAGGTATTGCAGTGACTTGGAATGTCTGACCATCTATGGTGGGATCCTTCAGCTTCTCCATCTTGAAAGTCATGATGGTATCTCCCAGGTGGAGATCAAGATTACCATGCTTGACATCAATCACCGCTCCAGCTGTAGCTAAAAACGATCTTCCCAGGATAAGAGGATCTTTGGGTTCCTCTCCATATTGCAGAACCACGAAATTTGTAGGAATTATGCAATCACCAACTTTGATTGGAACATCTTCCAAGACACCTTTTGGGATTCTTTTAGACCGATATGCTAGGATCAAAGAGATCTTAGTTGGCTTGAAGTCAGTCATCCCAAGGCTAACAGCTACAGAGTGTGGCATGAGGTTGACACTCGAATCAAGATCACACAGCGATCTCTTGAACCTCTCTGAGAAGATAGAGCAGTCCAAAACAAAACTTTCTGGGTCCGAGAGCTTTTCTGGAATCTTATTATGAATCACAGAACTGACATGTTCAGAGATCATCATCGCTCCTTCCTCATGACCCACATTATTAGTCACCATCTTCTTCACATAGTGTCTGAGAGTAGGAGCAATCTTCACAGCATCAACCAAAGGAATCTCAATCACAAGCTTCTCCATCAAAGCCTTGCATCTGGCATCATCTAGCTCCTGCTTGGACTTCCTAAGACTCCTTGGGTAAGGAACCTTAGGTTTGTAAACCTTTTCCTCAGCAGATTTCGGACTTTGAGCAATATTAGCTTTGCTCTGCAATTGGTGACGCGCGACACTGGTTGTGGTGTCGCTCGACACTGGCTCTGCAGTTTCGAAATTTTTTTTAGATTCGTCAAACTCCACGATTTCATCCTCAGAAACACCCTTTTTCAGCACATGAATCAACTTTTTACCACTCCTTGACGAGATGGCACTGCAGTAATGCCTAGGATTGGTATCAGTCTTCCCAGGAAGGAATCCTTCTTGAATTTTTACAGACTCTGCAGTCTGAGCAACCTGAGTATCAAGCTTCTTGACATGAATGTTCAGAACTTCAATTTTTCCATTCAGATCCAGATACATAGCATCAATCTTCCCATTAAAGTCCACTGTCATCTTCTGCTGACCTTCCAAGATCTGTTCCAGCATAGACTTCACCTCATTATCTGGAGTTTGAGGAGGAGGAGAACCATAGTTTCTTGAAAAACTGTTGTTGGAGTAGGATGTCTGGTACTGAGGTTTGGAGCTGTAACCAGAAGAGTTCTGATTACCTGTGAAGGTACTCCTCTGCTTATTTCCATTGTAATTCGTGTTCCCTTGCCCATAACCAAATCTCTGATCCTGAAATCCAGCTCCATTGATGAAGTTAACATCTTCTTCCTCAAAAGCTTCATCTGGTCCGAAATTCTGAACTCCTGCAGTGTATTTGACAGATTTCTTACCCACAAGAAGACTATGCACAGAGTCAAGCTTAGCCTTCACCTCAGCAATTTGCGATCCATCCATGTTCCCAGCCTGCTTCCTTCGTTGATAGTCTGCATTCTTGGTACTATTGCTAGATGCCAAGTTTTCGATGAACTCAACAGCTTCGTCTGGGTATCTGGTGTTGAAGTTTCCATTGCTCGCTGCATCAAGAGCCATCTGATACCTCCAGTCGATACCTCTGAAAA